GGGCTCCTTAGTTAGGGGCCTGGAGGGCTGCACAGCCAGGCTTCCCACAGGCCCGGTTAACTCTGCGCCTGCTAATAGTTCACTTTCCCATTCAATTATATTTTTTGCCCGCAGCTTGTCTACAGTGTTTACAACCTGGCCTCTGACTCCAACTGCACCCTCTGCACAGAAAATCACATAAAAGCAAAACCATTTAAGAGACCATAACATGGTTTGAAAAGCATGGTATAAAATGGTTTCTCCATAGAATATTCCATGCCAGACATCTCCTGCATAGGGTCAAGGTAGGGGACTTGTCCCGTCCAGTTCTCTGGTGCTGTCAGTCCCACCTGGCTCTCTTCCTCTCACCATGTTACTCCCTGCCTTCTCCTTTCTAAATACACTGCCTAACCTTTCAGGGAGGGCTCTGGTGGCACAGTACCTAAGGCATTTGACTGCTAACCAGAAGGCTGGCAGTTCAAACCCACCAGCCACTCCTCGGAAGGAAGATTGGGCAATCTACTTCTGTAGAGATACTACCTTGAAAACCCAAAGTGGCGTCGCTGTGAGTTGGAAACGACTCCATGGCAGTGACTTCAGTTTTTTGGTTTGTAACTTTTCAGGGGACTTGCCTCTGTGTCTGTAGAAATAGGACAGCTGCAGACATTTTCCCCAAGATGTCCCAAACTTGGGTCCCACTGAGTCCTGGAGAATAATATGGAGTCAACATGCACTCAGCATCTTGTCTGCGGAATGGTGATGACCTCCTTCCCTGAGGCATGCCGGGGACACCATGAATGGCTGTGAGGGCCTAACCCAGGCCTGGCCCATGATTGGCTCTCAGGGGGTGCTGTCATTATTACACTCTTCTTAGCCAGCAGGCCCCAAAGCAGTCCACAACGAAAAGTGGTCTCAGCCTCACTTCTCCCTCCCTTGGAAGGTTGCTAAGAGAATTCCCCCCAAAAAGGAGGGGGTGGGTATGAAGCTGCTGTTTAACAATAATAAGCCAAACCAATTACTGTTGAATTGATTCTAACTCATGGCAACCCCATGTGTGCAGAGTAGAACTGCTTCTTAGGGTTTTTATGGAATTCCCAGCTTCTGGGAATGAGCACTTTGAACACTTTGAATTTGTATGGAAAACATGGTGTGCTATAGCATTTTTCTGGAGAAAGGCTTTTTAGCAGTAGTATGATTTTTTAAAAGAAAATCCATAAGATGTCTCAAGAAACAATTCCTGCTTTTGATAATATCAAAGGTTGGGTTTGATGTCATGCTAAAAGGTTAGAGGTGTGCCTCAGACATCCCTGGCTGCTTTTTCTTCTCGGTCTTAGGCCACTTTGTTTTGACTGTTTTCATTATTAGTTAATCTGATCCCATGGAGATGAGTGGGCATGGGCAGACCGGGATGGCTGGTGCCTGCCCACCCTCCAGGGGACAGGCCCTATCCTCACACCACTGATAGTCAGCTGTCAGATGCAGCGCTCAGGGTGGTGGATAGTGGGGTAAACCGAGCTAATCCCAGGCTGGATCCTTGGAATTCTCCCTAGAGAAGAACAGAAGGAAAACGAGAGTGCGAGCAAATGGTGTGTTTGGAAAGGACGGTCAATTCACTGTTGACGTTAGCAAGGAAACATAGTATTCCCTCAATATCTAAATGGTTAAATGAATTCTGAGATCCTGGGGTGGGAGGGAAGGAGAAATAGGAGAAGGAAAGGAGAAGAGAGAGAGAGAATTGTGTTGGCGTCGGCTTGGGATTTATTTATTGTACTCGCTGTTGATTAAGCCCGCTCCGCAGCAGGCACCGGGCTGGTAAATACACAGGCTGATTCATTAGCTTCTGACCATCTGCTTCCCGGGCTAGGGGCGAGGGGGGCAAGCGGGCCCTTCAGGTTAGGGCAGCCAGGCATTGGCAGCCAGGTTGGGGCCCCCATCCCCTGTCAGAGCCATGTCAATCTTCCTAATGGCAGACAGGCTGAGTGCGGCTGAGAGCTGTGAGGGATCCTATGAGGACCCTGGCCCCCCTGGACACCCAGTGGGGGACTAGGAGGCCCAGACAAGGGGGAGAAAGTAAGGCAGAGGGACAGAGAGAGAGACCAGGGAAAAGGCAAGGTATGGGCAACTGACAGCAGTGGGAGTTTGACAGGAATAATATCAACACTCAATATGAGCTATATTAATATTAAAATAATCATCATAATTAATTAATATATGATATTAGTAACAACTAGAATTTAGTAAGCAGTTACTGAAGTCTAGGTCCCATATGGAAGCTTCACTACACTGCGACAGCTAAGCATGCTAACAACCCCATGATCGATGGTGAGGGAACTGGGTTCAAAGACTGAGCCAGGCAGGGCAGGCTTTCCGGAGGAGGTGTGTGGGAAGTGTGAAAACTGGGAGGAAGGAGAGTGGTTGCAGGATTGAAAGCTTAGAGACAGGATGGATGAGGCAGCCTGGGAAAAGGCCCAGCCTTCGATGACTAGGGTCATAAAGTGCTTTCCAGGTGGATGGCAGTATGAAGCCACCTGGTGTCAGCATACTGAGAAACTAGACTAATGAAGGAGGATTCCAGAGATAGCTTCTAGGAAAATTGCCCAAAACATACAACTCAGCCTCCCTGTTGTAAGCCATTCCTCCTACCCTGGGATGAGTCTCCAGGGGCAGTGTGGAAAGGTAGAGCTGGGGCTGAGGGGAGAGGGATGAGCCCATGCCTGATTGCAAACCATGTCTTCCCACTCTCGTCACTTCCCACCATTCAGATATGAGCTCTTAGGGCACCTGCCCACCACTCCTCATCTCCAGGTGGCACGAGCAGAGCCCATTCTACCTCTGGGCTCAGCTGTGATGATGCTGGGGTAGGGGCTTACCCTCACGGGTCATATCTGCCTCCTCAGGCCCCAGTGCTCTGCTACTGTCTTGTCACTATGCCTTGCCTCTGCAGGCCATTGAGTTGTCCCCTTAAGGCATATCAGCCCCCTCCTCATTCAGGGTGAGTTGCCTAGGTCACCCAGCCTGGATGTAAAGAAGCTCGGAGCAGGCCCTGTCCTGGCCATGGTGCCTGGGAGCACACCAGCATTGCGGGACCCCACTGCAGCCATCCAGAGCAAACCAGGCTCATCCTCAGAAATAGCACCCACTCTCAAGGATGCCTGGGGCCTCAGTTTTCCCATCTGTACTATGAGGCATTGGACTTAATGGTGCCTCTTCCACCCAGAGGTTTGTGGGGCCTCTGAATTGGCAAGGACCATGTTAGGTGGGGTAGAGACACTATGGCAGACCAAGGACAGAACTGGTTAAGTCAAGAAGGGCTTTGTGGAACCTGTCCTGGTAAACCCTAGGGCCAGCCCTACTGAAGAGCCCTGGTGGCCTGGGGGCTTGTCCTCTACTGTAGCAGATCAAAGCCGGAAGCCTGGCCTCAGTGACATGCAGTAGGGGGGTTTGGGGAGTGTCAGTCTGCCCCTCAGATGCCTGAATGCCGAATGGTTTATTTCGAAGTGCAAGGTTTTCACTGCAATCCAAACCGTTTTGTCTCTGAGCAAACCAGAGACCTGAAATATTCATCAAAAAGGGCTGCGAGTAGTCTAGGACATGGTGTGTAGTCAGTAGTCAGGCCTCCAGTGTGAGTTCGCATAGTGGACTAGATTCAGGGAAATGAGTTTGAGCCACCACAGAGGGAAACTTCATCTGATCCCCACTGGGCAGGGGGAGTGGGCTGCCCAGCTTTCCAGGGGCCTTCGAAGAGGAGAGGAGAGTAGATATGTGTCAGACAATCTTGTTTCAGAGCTAGGACGGGAGGGGAGTAAGCAAGCAAGGGGGTGGTCCCTGCAGTCTTCAGTCAGTGTCCCCTGCAAGGGACCTGCCAGGCACTTTGTGGAAATGACTTGCCACAAAGACATACCCTTGGGAGGGAGCCAACATCCTTCCCATGTGCCCAAGGCTACACCTGAAGCAGATACACATGCTGTGGGGCCAAAGAAAGGCGTGGCCATCAGACAGGATGCATGAGACAGGCCGGGTTAGGCACTTGTCTTCCCAGCTGGGACTTTGAACAAGGGACTCCATCTTCCTGGACACAGGTTTCTTCGTCTTGAACATGGAAATCACCTGCCTTGTGGTTGGAGGGGAGATTATAAATATGAGAGAACTGAGATCATGAAGTCCTTAGTGCAATGCATCAGGTAGCAGTTGGACAAACAGCAGCCACGACTTTAACTTCTATCACCAGCCCTACATTGCTACTGCTGCTGCTGCTGCTAATGGTAGTTTTCAAAGGGCCCAGGATGGTGTCTCTGTGTAGGAGACATTTAAAGAGCCAAACATCTGAGTGAGAACTTTGGAAGCAGAGAGTGAAGGACTCATCAAAGAGAGGGAAAGGGATCTGTGAAGGCTCAGAGGCAGGACAAGTAGTGCTTGGACGATGAGAGTAGTCCAGGTGTACCCAGCCCAGGTAGCCCCAGATATGGTGGGGGGCAGGCCAGGGTCAGCTGTTGAGGAGTTAGGACTTTTTCTTACGGGCAACGGAGAGCTGTGGGGGACTTTGAAGTGGAGGAATAACTACTTCTCTTCTTGATTTTATTTAAACCAAACCAGTTACCATCAAGTTATCTTTGACTCATAGTGACCCCATGTGTATCAGGGCAGAACTGTACTCCATAGGGTTTCCGACGGCTGGTTTTTCAGAAGTAAAATGCTGGGCCTTTGCTTCAAGGTACCTCTGGGTGGACTCAAACCCCTAAACTGTTAGCAGCCAAGTGTCACGCAGCAACTCAGAGGAGGAATAAGTGTGTGCTTTCTTGGAGAACCATAGAGTTGCATTTCTTTTTCTGCTTTGAGGGAAAGTGGAGGAAATGGGTACAAATTACCCACCTGGGATACTTCCTGATATCTGGACATCAGGACACAGACCTGCACCTTGTGGGCCAGTGCCTGGGCATGTGGGCATGGGGCAGCAAATGGAGGCCTCCCAGCCCTCAGGAGCAGCCAATGCCCACCCTTCCCTTCTCCTCTTCCCACTGCAGGAGAACCCATACCTGTGCAGCAACGAGTGTGATGCCTCCAACCCGGACCTGGCCCACCCACCCCTGCTTATGTTTGACAAGGAGGACGAGGGGCTGGCCACGTACTGGCAGAGCGTCACATGGAGTCGCTACCCAAGCCCCCTGGAAGCCAATATCACCCTTTCCTGGAACAAGAGCGTGGAGCTGACAGATGACGTGGTGGTGACCTTCGAGTATGGCCGGCCCACGGTCATGGTCCTTGAGAAGTCTCTAGACAATGGGCACACATGGCAGCCCTACCAGTTCTATGCTGAGGACTGCATGGAAGCCTTCCACATGCCTGCTCGCCGGGCCCGGGACCTGTCATCCTCCAGCGTCCACCGGGTGCTATGCACCGAGGAGTACTCACGCTGGGCAGGCTCCAAGAAGGAGAAGCATGTCCGTTTTGAGGTGCGAGACCGCTTCGCCATCTTTGCCGGCCCTGACCTGCGCAACATGGACAACCTCTACACACGGCTGGAGAGTGCCAAGGGCCTCAAGGAGTTCTTCACCCTCACAGACCTGCGAATGCGGCTGCTGCGCCCAGCATTGGGTGGCACCTACGTACAGCGGGAGAACCTCTATAAGTACTTTTATGCCATCTCCAACATCGAGGTCATTGGCAGGTAAGGCCTAGGGGGTAGGGGATAGGGAGGCAGAGCTCAAGATGTCACCTGGTGGGCAAAGGGGTTGCCTATGCTGGCCAGGGCTGCACAGAGGAATGGCATAGAAGGAAGGGAATGCATGGAAGATCAGTGTCCTTGCTGGGGCCTGGGCTGACCAGCCACAGGGAAGCTGGGAAGCTTGCAGAGGATGAGTGGGGCTAGCATTGTGGGCAGAGCTTGGGTTAAAGCCTGGTGCTGCTGTCCAGAGGTGTTCTGTAATTGTCCATTGACTCAGTGAATGGGCTCTTGTGTTCAGAGATCTCCAAGACCACCCTCAGATTCAGTGAGTCTAGAAAGCCTCCCAGGACTCAGCAAAGCTGTTCTATTTGTGGTTATGGTTTATTGTGATGAAAGGAGACAGATTAAAATCAGCAATGGGAAAAGGCACATAAGGCAGAGCCCAGGAGTGACCAGGAACAAGCTTCTAGTTGTCCTCTCCTGGTGGAGTAGTGGACAGTGCTTACTTCTCCCAGAAATGATGTGTGGCATGGAATATCGTCAACCCAGGAAGCTCACCCAAGTCGTGGTGTCCAGGATTGTCACTGAAGACTAGTTACATACACATGGCTGATCATCATGTGCCTGACCTTAGTCTTCTTAGACTCCCACCATAAATCACATTGTTAGCATAGAATGTCTGGCCTGGCCCAAGGCCCTAGGTATACGGAGGTACTCTTATCAGGCAGGATATTCCAGGGGCTTAGAGATACCAGCTGCTCTGGTGGAAGGAAGATGGGTAATCTACTTCTGTAAAGATTTACAGCCTCGGAACCCAATGGGAGTTGCTATGAGTCGGAATCTACTTGATGACAATGAGTTTGGTTTTTTTGAGTTAGGGACATGTCCTAGCAAAGAACCAAACCTGTCTGTGGAATGTGCAGGGTGTGGACAACCCAAAATTGCTGAATTAATCCCTCACTGTACAACTTTGGGGAAAAATATGCTTGGAGGATAGTTTTTGGGAGGCAAAAGACTATCAGGAAATAAAAGCAGCCTTTGGTTCCCAAGACCCATTTAGGTCGTGGATTGTTAAGGTCATTTGTTCATTTGACAATGTTCTGGTCTGTGGGGGCCAAGACTTTATCCTTGAGCTATCTACATAACTCCTTGTCTGCACTGAGGAAAGGCTTGGGGAGGTACCCATCACTAGGTAAACCCAGGGAGAGAGTCGCATGGGGCAGTAGAGTGTGATGCAGGGATTCTCCAGGTGTGGTCCCATATAGGCATCATCAGCATCACCTGGGAGCTTGCTAGAAATGCAGATTCTCAGGCCCCACATTTGACCTTCTACATCATAAACTCCAGGTGGTGGGGCCCAGCAATCTGGGTTTTCACAAGCCCTCCAGGACATCTGATGCACACTCAAGTTGGAGATCCACTGGTGTAATGGTTGGGATTATGGGCCCTGGAGCCAGAAGACCTGGGTTTGATTCCCAGCTCTGTCATCCACTGACTGCTGAGCCTTGGCAAGTGCTGCTTCGTGCTTCAATTTCTCCATCTGTAAAACTGGGATGGTGACGATCATTATCATCAGATGGTGGTGAGGGTTAATGAGTTCAATGAGTTAAAGTCGGTGATGCACTCAGAACGGCACCCGGCATATAACTCATGCAATGAAAAAGAAAAGGTTTTGTTGAATACAATAATTGCTCATCACAATAATGGAATCAGGGGGCTGTGGCAGGCTGACAGAGGACATATTTGAGTCCCAGAGAGTTGGGCCAGCAGCATGGCTTAGCTAGGCGCAGGCAGGAGCTGTACTCAGAGCCCAGCTGGGACAACATATCCTGGGTGTCTTTCCACAGCAGGCTCTGAATGCTGCCCAAGTTTATAATTACTGATGAGTGAAAAAAGCAAGTTGCTATATAGTGTGTACAGCATAACCCTATTTTTGTAAAATATACAACATGCTTGTGTGTATACTTCCTATGTAGTATATGCATCGGGAAGAAACTCATATAGGAAAAACATCACAGGATGGAGAAAAGGCTGAAAGCATGCCCAGTAACTATTCACAGTGATTACGCCCGGGGAGGGGGCCGGGCAGGGGCAGCACAGGACTTGTGCTTGCATTTTATTTTGATAACGTGTATAGACTCCAGCTGGCCAAAGGCAAAGGTGAGTGGATGGTGAAATAAGAGTCAGGTTTAAGATGGGCTGATTTGGGGGCTGACAGATGGAGCAGCAGGTTCACATGCAGGAGGTTGTGGTTCTAATGCCCATGTTTTCTAACTCCTCCCCCAACTGGGACTCCCCCAGTATTTAAACTTCGGAATGTTCTGGAAACCACCAGCTATGTGGCCACTGTTGGGAAGATCAGGGCTTGTGCTCCTGTGCCTGTTCTCTAACCCATGTGCATAGACAGTGTGGTCATCTCAGTGATCCCTGCTCTTGGGATGGGACTGTCTGGTTGGTACAAGGCCCCCTTGCAGTCCTGCTTAGCTTAGCAGTTCTGGGGTTGGGAGCAAGATCTTCAGGCCTTCCTGGGGTTGCAGCCTGTTTTCTGACTTGTCTTGGGCTGCCCTCATCTTCACAACTCTGGCCAAGGGCCCCATTTTACACTTTATCAGGCAGCGCAGGCTGAGGTCCTGCTGTCTGGGCCAGCCTCTGGGTCCTGGCTGGGATGCTCACTGTTCGGGCCTTGGTGGTGGTTACCATCAAGTTGGTTTAGACTCCTGGCAACCTATGTGTCAGGATAGAATGGCCCCATAAGGTTTTCAAGGTTGTGACCTTTTGGAAGCAAATCCTCAGGCCTGTGTTCTGAAGTGCTTCTGGGTGGGTTCAATCCACCATCCTTTGGGCTAGCAGTTCAGTGCTTAACCATTTGCACCACCCAGGGACTCCACAGGGCCTCATGGTGCCCCCTCAATCCCAGCAGGGTGATGACCATCTCTGTCACAGGAACGACTAAGACACAGACACAGAAGTGGGGCAGAGCATACTCATGAAGGGCCCCAGGGCCAGAGGGGGCAGAAAGAACCTTAGTTCCTCAGCCTCATCCAAGTGAAGATCACTGTGCCAGGTGACTTGGGTCGCCAGTGACATGGGTTCATGCCCTGCACCTCCGTTTCCCACACAGAACATGTGGGCTGGAGCTGCCCAGAGCCCCTGTCCTCCTGGTGAGGTGGCAGGACGGTCATTGCTTAGAGGCTTACAGCTCCTCTTGGCATCCAGCCTCTGCGGGTGGTGGGGATTAGCCGTAGTGGTGGCGAAAGTATGGCAATCAATTCACAGATAGAGTAAGTACTCTTTGGGCAGCTAGTTGGCAGGAAAGCGGCAGCTTGGCTTATCGATTAGTTAGGTCTGATTGGATGGTTCAGCAAAGGGCTGTGACTTCCTCCTCTTTTCCATTTTAAATTTCTGGTGGGAAAGCCCAACCCAGTGAACCAGAGAGATCCAGAGAAACAGGACAGGGTGGGCACAGCAAAGGGAAATGCTGTACCCAAACAGATCCTCTCTGTTCCTGAGCAGGCACCTGGGGACCCCTGAGAGCTCTCAGGTCTGGGTTTTCAGACTGAACCTGTTCTGGTGTTCTCTGAGAATTTCATGTTCCAGATAGACCACGTTGCCTTCCCACATGGTCTTGGTCTGCTAATATAGTAAAACAACTCATAGCGAACCCTCCTTGGGTTTCCAAGGTGGTAAATTTCTACAGAAGTAGATTGCCCAGTTTTCCTTCCAAGGAGTGGCTGGTGGGTTTGAACTGCCAGCCTTCTGGTTAGTAGTCAAATGCCTTAGGCACTACGCCACCAGAGCTCCTTAGGTAATATTTATTGAGTGTTACAGGTCAGGTGCTGTGGTAAGTCTTTATGTGTATGATCTTGTTTAAACAATAGTGATCAATTCCCCAATGTTTATTGAATGCCTAAGCTCATCCTTCGTTCCTGCCAGTCTCCACCACTGTATTTTCTCTAGTGAGGCACCTGCCCCTTGGTCCTCATTTCTGGGACCAGATCTTAGACAGCGATTCTGCCTCTCTTGAGCTCAGGTAGTTTATATTATGTCCTGATTGGGTGGGGTGACAGGTAATCTCCACTAGCCTCCCCTCCAGAGTCCTTTGAACTGTGGTTGCTCTCCTCCCCCATCACTGATGCCAGCTGTTTCCAGCTCCAAAGGGATCCCACACTGGGGGAGGAGTGAAGGCAAGGAGCAGAGGCATCTGGCAGCTAGAGGGGTGGGGGACCTAGGGCAGCTGGAGAAATCCCAGGGCCTCAGGAATGAGGACTAACTAGTGTAAATCAGAGGGTGAGAGGAGGGCACAGACAGAGCTGCCACCCTGTGGGGCGGTGGTGGGGAAGCTGGCACTGGTGGCACAGAGAGAAATATCTGCCAGCATCTCTGGGCCACCACCACCCCCTGTCCCCAGTCATTATTCACTCCCATTCCTGGAAGGCAGGAAGGAGGCGGGAGCTATTTTCTCCTTCCACACGTGGGGAAACTCAGGTGCAGAGCAGGCTGGCTTTGAACCATGCAGTGAATCTGGGACAGAACTGGGACTTGTGGAATGAGATCATCACTTCACAGTGCTTGGAGCCAGGACAGACCCACCCCAACATAGTGGTTAAGAGCAAACTCAAAAAAACCAAACTCATTGCCATCAAGTGATTAAGAGCATCAAGGAACAAACCTGATCCAGCCTCAGAATCATATGGGAGAGCTTATTAAGATGGGATTCCTTAGCCCCACCCCTAAGAGCTTTGGAGCCGAATGTTTAGGGGGAGGTGCAGCAGGTTGTCTCTGCAGAGTGAGTCAAAGAGATGGGAACCATCATGGAATTTGGGCTTTGGCTTTATTAGACCAGCCAGAATTTGAATCCTGGATTAGCTGGATGACCTTAACTTATCTGAACCTCAGTTTTCTCATCTGGGAAATGAGAAAATATTATCTACCTTATCAGCTTGTTGTGACGATTTCATGAAATAATATATTTAAAGAGCTTATCCTAGTGCCCCATTTCTGTG